GAAGGGAAGGAGGGAGGGAGGGAGGGAGGGAGGAAGGAAGGAAGGAAGGAAGGAAGGAAGGAAGGAAGGAAGGAAGGAAGGAAAAGGAAAGGAAAGGAAAAAGAGACAGGAGAGAGGAGCCTCTTGGGAAGAGCCAGCAAACTAGTGTCAAGGCAACCATGGGAAATGAAGGCTCTTGGAGAAGATGTTGCCTGAAGTTGGTTAAGGCCAGGCCTGAGAATGTCTATGGCCTTTGACACCTCTGTGGTCCCTGATAACTTTCCAGAGAGCCACTGTGTACAAATTTGGCTTGGATGGGAAGGAATGAGATACAGCCATGACCTCCTGTGCCATCTTGGCCTGTTGAACTCCTTTCATTTTTCAAGAAACAAATGAGGCATCTTCCAGCTCCAGGCGTTTCCCTTCAGCAGTTCCCAATTTTGTCTCACCCAGGGAGCTTTAAAAAATACCCACGTTGGCCAGGCGTGGTAGCTCACACCTGTAATCCTAGCACTTTGGGAGGCTGAGGTGGGTGGATCACTTGAGGTCAGGAGTTCAAGACCAGCCTGGCCATCATGGCGAAACCCCATCTTTATATTAAAAAAAAAAAAGAAAGAAAGAAAGAAAAAGGCCGGGTGCGGTGGCTCACGCCTGTAATCCCAGCACTTTGGGAGGCCGAGGCGGGTGGATCACGAGGTCAAGAGATCCAGACCATCCTGGTCAACATGGTGAAACCCCGTCTCTACGAAAAATACAAAAATTAGCTGGGCATGGTGGCGCACGCCTGTAGTCCCAGCTACTCGGGAGGCTGCGGCAGGAGAATTGCTTGAACCCAGGAGGTGGAGGTTGCGGTGAGCCGAGATCGCGCCATTGCACTCCAGCCTGGGTAACAAGAGCGAAACTCCGTCTCAAAAAAAAAAAAAGAAAAGAAAAAAAAAAACACCGATGGTTATGGTGGTCAAAATTAGAATAGAAGCCAGGTGCAGTGGCTCATGTCTGTCTGTAATACCAGCAATTTGTGAGGCAGAGGCGGGCAGATCACGAGGTCAGGAGTTGGAGACCAGCCTGACCAACATGCTGAACACCACCACCACCATCCCACCACCCCCGTGTCCACTAAAAATACAAAAATTAGTCGGGTGTGGTGGTGCGGGCTTGTAGTCCCAGCTATTCAGAAGACTGAGGCAGAAGAATCGCTTGAACCCGGGAGGCGGAGTTTGCAGTGAGCTGAGATCCCACCACTGCACTGCAGCCTGGGTGACAGAGCAAGACTCCGATTCACAAAAACAGAAAAAATTAGAACAGAGATTGCTTCTGGGAAAGAAGGAGTGGGGATCCGTAGAGAAGGGACATGCAAGAACGTTGAGTGATGGAAATGTCATATATTTTTAAAGAATTGTGTGAGTTACGCAGTCTTATATATTTATCAAAACTCATCAAAATATATACAAGATTTATGTGCCCTCAAACAGTTGAAATACCGATATTTTTCAAAATTTTACATACCGATGTCAGAGCTCTTCTTTGGACCGTTTAAATCGGAGTCGCTGAACCCGGGGGTTGTGCGTGCCTACATTCGAAGGCTCCGCAGGCGATTGTAAAAGTGCAACCGGTGAGGAGACCTGCTGCTGGGGGAGCGAATCTCTCACCCCTTCAGGTGCCCGAGGCTCTGGCACTGCTCCATCATGTTCCGTCTGGTTCCTATCCTTCCATCCGTTTCTAGACAGGTCCGTTACCGCTGGGCTATGAGCTTTGGGTTCCCCTGGTGATCAGCTCGGGACCCTCTTTCTGGGCGTTGGCAGGACGCTGGGGGCTGGGCGGGACAGACCGCTGAGCGGGAATCCCATAGTCACTGCCCTGGGGTGCCACCCGCCCCACTCGTCCTACAGGGCCGCTCGGCGAGAGCAGATACGACCCCGCAGGTGTTCAGAGGGGCAGAAATTTCCTAGGTGCCCAACCGTGCCTCGATTACCAGACCCTGGCCTCCTGGCCGTACAGTGGTCATAGGGAGAACTGAGCATCCATAGGGCCGGCGGACCTCGTGGCGCAACGGTAGCGCGTCTGACTCCAGATCAGAAGGTTGCGTGTTCAAATCACGTCGGGGTCAGTGGGGATCTTTTTCCTTCTCTTGTTGAACTCCCTTTATATTAAGCTACAGTCGACCTTTGGCGATCAAGTCAGAGAAGGAGCAATCTCTTTGGGGCCTGAAGCGGAGGGGCTTCTGGCACCACGTTTCGAGGCCGCGCAGTCTGGGCAGCACAACTGTCTCGCGGGGATTTTCGCGATGGATCCGGGTACCTTAATTCTGGATGGATACGGCGGCTCCTGGGAACAAGAAGAGTTCCAGACCGTTCAGCAGAGGGAGGAGGGTCGGGCAATCACGCAGGGGAGAAGATCCGTCTCCGATTTGCGAGTCTTCCTTCCAGTGCTGAACGGTTTCCCCTAAAATCTTCCTCTCGTGCAGACTTCACGAGAGGCGAGCCCCACAGGCAGGAATAAGAGTTCAGGCCCCAGAAAAGAGACACCCAGTTGTCTGTCCGCAGACGAGGTGGCCGAGTGGTTAAGGCGATGGACTGCTAATCCATTGTGTTCTGCACGCGTGGGTTCGAATCCCATCCTCGTCGGCATAGGCGATGCTGTGGTTTGAATTCAGTT